GGACAGCAGAAAGTCCACAGCTCAAGTTGTCTCCCTCCTTGCTGTTTCCCTTCCTAGTCATAGGCCACCAGAGCAGTTGTCCCTGCAGCCCTTGGTGACCGAGACTAATCTTTAGGTCAATTCTCAGGTGCCAACACCACTTGGAAATATTCAGGCTGTTGATCTCATCAGAGTATCTGATAGTCTGCAGCTCCGACCATCTCTGTACTCACTGTTTTCGTTCAGGTTTTTCCACTAGTTGGTGCCTAATCCACTTCCGTATAGTTCCTTTCAAAGCTCAGGGCTCCAGGATTATCTTCTGCAGCTCTGTCAATTGGTTTTTCCTTCCTTTGTTAAAGAGGGTCTGTGTTGCTTGTCTGCCTATTCCTCCATCTTACCAGAAGTTCCTCCAGTCATATTTTGAGGGCCTTCCAACCTGAGGGGTTCATCTCTGGCACTATATCAGACAATGATTTGGGGCTATTCATTAAGTTTTCCAGTAATATATCAAACAGCATTTTACTGCTTGTGGTAGTTCAGTTTGTGTGTCAACTTGGCCGGGCCTGGTTGAATGGTTGGGCAGCTGGATGTAGTATTCCCCATGATGAGACTGGTAATCAGCTCCATGGTGGAATCTACTGTGAGCAGCTGAGTAGCTGCCTTTGGGTATGTGGCCTGCTTCCTGTATATAAGGAGAAACCTTGGGGAATGGTCTCTAGCTTATGGCACGCTTGGACCCTGCATGTAGCCATGGTATTGTTCAGCAGCCTGCCATGTTCTGCCAACCTTGGGACTTACAGTGGACTTGAATTGATGGCCTGCCGTGTGGTTTGGTAACATCGGACTGTGCCATTTTATTTGTTGACCTTGGGCTTGTTAGCCTCAGCATCCAGTAGCTGCCTGAGTGAAGAGATGCCTCTAGCTTCAGTGGGCCAGGAACAAGAGGCAGAGCTGAAGCCCAAGGTCAAGGGGCTTTCACACACCCCTACATCCTGGCACTTTGAACTGGGACTTAAAGCCTCCAAATTGTAAGAATATACTCCTGTTTGTTAAGGCCATCCCATTTGTGGTATATTCTTGTCAGAGTGGCACTAGGTAACTAGAACACTGCTATTCATAAGGTTTTTCACTGGCTAATTCTTTGAGAAATGGATGGCGCCTTCCTTCTTCCAAGTCTGTCTTAGTCTAAGCAAAGATAATAAGAAGATTTAAATAGATGTAGGCATAGACCTTGATCATGGTTAGGATGACTCAGTATCTTAAAGATGTCAATTCTCCCAAATAGACCTATAAATGTACTACAATCCCAACAAGATTTTTTTTTGGCAAATGAAATTTGTGTGTGTGTGTGTATACATATATATACAAACAAAGACCCCAGCAAAAAAAAAAAAAAAAAAGCAATGAATTCATATCCATACAATTCACTGTTTTTATTACATGACATATCAAAGAAGCTAGTTTGATAGGAAGGTAGAATGACAATCTGCAGGCTCGGTTACTACACCAGTTGGGAGACAACACTCTATGAGGTGTTGTCATTATATGGTGCTGTCTCTCCCACAGCCAAGAAGCACAGGCCTAGGAACCAAGAGGTGGCAGTGGAAATTTCCCCTCTTACCAGTACCCTTAATAGTCACTGGAAGGAGTTTCACTCCCCATCACCACGTTTTGGGACTTGGTAACAACTGGAGACCCTGATGCTCAAGGGATGAATGCTTCTGTTAGAGAACTGACAATAAAGTGGAAGCAGAAACTGTCCCCTGGCTATTTTGGGCTTTCATGCTACTAACCCAACAGGTAAAGAAAGTGATCATTGAACTCAACAAGGTGATTGATACTTGAAGCCAGCAAACAAAGGAATGATCAGAGTGAAGGTTAGGAGTCAGGGGAGAGTAGCTAGTTAGGATGGGGGCTCAACAAGGGTCAGTCAGTCTTGTCCAGGTTTGTTAGTTGGGCTGTGGCATTCCACAGGCTTTTGGACACTTGAGGATCCTGAGCTGGTTTAGTGGGAAGAGTTATCACACAGGAACTGTTAAAATATTTTCCAGAAATGCCATCCAGCTCCTGTGCCAAGCTCAAGTAGAGGACTGGCATTGCACCTTGCTTGGGATCCTGTAGAGACATGGAGTGGGACGAGAAAAAAAGAAGTCACCCCAGTCAGGTATTAGCCTGCTGTGGAACACACTTAGAAGCAGAAACATGTTCCACCCTCTTCAGGTTGAGTTGGCTCCTGCCATACTCACCTTGATGAAGAAGCTGAAGAGCAAGAACAGGAAGCGGTATTTCCAAGGTAAATTCCTCATGATGTTTGTATATACAATACCCGGGTGCACAGAGTTCACAGTCACACCTGAGAAGGTGGGACAGAAGTATGATGTAAAGTGAGAGGAGGATGTGGGAAACAAGGGACAAGTCTGGTTATACTGTGTGCAGTGAAGAAAAGGTACTACCAGGACTGCTTTGTAGTGGTAACCAGAGACTTTGAGGTGGTGCCAGTGACAGCAGTGCTCCATAACTTACACCAAAGGTTGTATCCAAGCCAGTCAAGAGGGATAGGTATTTGAAAGAGCTGGATGAGCTTTAGCAGGAATATGATGGATGGTATTGGTATTGGGATATACTGTTGTGGATAATAGAGAGTTGGAAAAGGCTTAAGAGGAGATGTGAAGACAGGGTTGAGAAAAATATAGGGTGCACAGATGATAAATGGAGGGGAGTAACAGCTGGTTGGGGGATATTGGGAGTATTTTATGGCCAGCACATGTTGGGAGATGTAACAGATTGGAAGGTTGTCTTGGGAGGGCAGGGAACTATATATAGTAAAGGAGTAGGGAATGCCAGAAGCAGTTACCTGTCCTTTGAAGTCTCCGAGCAAGCTCTGCAGTGAATGAGATCAACATCAGTTTGCTGCAGCAATAGTTCTGGTTGAATGTCAAAGGTCCACCAGCCCCTGTCAGGTGCTCCCCATCAATGTACCCATGTACTTGCTGAGAGGAAGACACGTTCACCACTCGAGCTGACCCTGCCTTCTGTAGAGCCCCTGGGTAGAAAGAGAACCAAAAACAAAAGTTGCTAGATATAGTGACAGAAAACCCAAAGGACAGCCCAATTGGAGAGAATTATCCTCACCATATTATGTCAATATGGGGAGAGAGATGTGTGCAACGGACTAAAGAGAACCCTGTAAATGTGGAGAGGGTGGAGGTAGTAGGAGAGGATCCACAGGAAAGGTACTATTTGTGTCAATCTTGGCAGTGAACTAAAGTTACCCAGGCTAAGAACTGGGAAAGGATATTCCAGACAGAGGGAACAACATGGACAAAAGCAGTCAGAGGGGGAAAATAGAGCATGGGCCAAGAACTACAGATAGTCTGGCTGGGAAGAGCAAAAGGTGAGGCTGTCACTCTGCAGGGGGCCTTGTTAAATCAAAACCAAACTCACTGCCATCAAGTTGATTCCAATTCACAGTGACCCCCACTGGGTTTCCAAGACTGTAAATCTTTTTTGTTTTGTTTTGTTTTGTTTTGTTGTTATTGTTTTATTGTGATTTGGGTGAAAATTTACAGAGCAAATTCACTTTCCATACAGCAGTTCACATACACTTTGTCTCATGACATTGACTACAATTTACCCCAAAGCAACAGCTTCCATCCCACTTCTTCCCCATAGTGACCTCTTCCCTGTGTCCATCCCTCCATATACTTCTGCCCTCTGACTTGTCTCCTTGTGCATAAGCAGCCCTTCTTTCTCTCATGATTGTTCTCTCCAAGGAATGTGTCTATCTCAGGTAAATGTTCAACTCATACGCCTGTCTTTGGTTTGGCTGGAAGCCACAGGTGTGGGTTCAATTCCACACCTGAAGGGCAGCTAGGGGCCATAGTCTCAGTGGTTCCACCAGGCTCTACTGGACCAGCAAACTTGGGCCCCCTTTTTTTTTTCCTCCTTATGACTTTGAGTTTTGTTCCACATTGTTCTCCCTCTCTATCCAGGATCTCCTACATAGATTCCCTTCCAAGTGGTTGACAGTGGTAGCCGGGCACCATCTAGTTCTTCTGGACTCATAGTCATATAAGCTGCAGATCAGATGGTGTACCAGTCACTAGGACTAATTATTTCCATGAATTTTTGGCTTTCTTCATTCTTCCTTGCTCTGGACGAGGAGAGACCCATCGTTGCATCTAGATGGCAGCTCGCTAGCTTTTAAGATCCCAGTCACTGCTGGTCAAAGTAGGAGGTAGAACAATGTTTTGTGTAGTATGTTATGCCAATTGAGCTTGATGTCCCCTGCGACTATGGTGCTGAGCCCACAGGTTCAACTCCTTGATCCCTCTGGGTAGCTGGCTGTGACCAAGTAGTGACTACAACCTTGCCCATTGTCAGCTCTGTTATACACTTGGGAATTCAGATCATACACAGAAACTTATAGGACCATTGTCTGCCAACCCTATACATGTTCTTGAGTACACTCCCCGCTTCAGACATACCTACTAGTTCAGCCTATCCACCCATCTATCCACCCATATACCCATGTTTGCCTTCACTAACAACGCAGTTCTGGATGTGCAAAAGTGTTCATCTTTGTTCTCTGTACCTCTCATGCACCTCTCTATGTCTTTCTCTTCCTCAATGCCACCATATTGATCACTCAAATTTGGTACATTGCCCTTCTCTTCACCCAAATCAATACTTATCTGGTAACAAACAAAGAAAATTTCCTTCCGTAGAAAAACCTTTCCTTGACTTTAACAATAACAGGCTAATACAATATTTATCCTTTTGTGATTGACTTATTTCATTCAGCATAATGTCCTCCAAGTTCATCCACGTTATGCGGTGTTTTGCAGATTCTACATTATTCTTTAGCGTTGCATAGTATT